TGAAGTGCTGCTGGAATTCTGCTGGCTCTAAGGCTGTGACACCAAATGGCCGCTTGCAGCCGCATGTGTCCCAGCTTGGAGTTGAGAGAGGCACATTCTCGGCTGCTGTTGTTCACCTACGTCCACTTGCCCAAAGCAGCCTGGATATCAATATGAAGTTAACCTTACGTGACCTGGACTAAATATGTGGCCCAACAAGAGCCCACAAAAATGGGCTCCCTGCTAAAAGTTTGATTTTTAGTGGGTGCAATGGAAACCACCACTAAGGAACCGGATGGCTGGGAGCCACCAAGAAACAAGGCATTGGGCAACCGGGACAACTTCTTCCCCGCCTTCAGATTTCGCATGAACTTGTTGAGCCTCCGGTCCTTTGCCATGTCGAACACCTCACGTCGGTTCCGCGCCCAAAAAAAAAACGAGGTTGGAGGTCGGCTCCTAGGAGAAGGATATAGCTCAGGTTGCTTTTGGTTCAGTTCTCGGTGGCGAAATCTGCGAAGCCCTGCGAAAAGTTTAACTAACTTTTAGTGGTTTAGTACGGAACACCAAAATTTGTGGGCAAAAAGTTAAAGTCAGTCCTAACATCCCTTGGCAAAATTTGCACCCAAGTCATGTGGGCTCGTCTTCTTTTTGAGGGGCCCATGTTTGGTTGGCATGAACGTCTTCCGATTCACACCTCGTGGCCCAAAGAGCCCGCGGCTCGAAAGAGCAGCGACCACTCAGCGAGCCAACAGGGCTGAAGCTCCATTTAGGGCCGTTGAAACGGGAGGCCAACAAATCACCGTGTCAAGGGGTCTCCTTAGGCATGCAACTGAAGGATGAAAGCCTGGTGAATGGAATGGACGCGTTGACTCAAAACTCCTGCGGTCCCTTGGCTCTGAAAAATGTCGGGCGCCACACCCAGCTCACCATCTCCCAAAACACCCGTCCTCGATCTATTTTCGTCTCCCAGGTCTTCCAGGCGTGTCGCCACTAGGCAAGCCTTTGGTATGGCCGGGTTCTACACCATGGTTGGAAACCAACCAACCTCCAATCGGAAGCACTGGGAAGGATACCTTCCAGAACAACAACACCTATATTCACCTGTGTCTTTTGAGGACCCTTTTCTCCGCTGGCGTTTTGGGGAACCCCAGAAAAAAAAAAAAAAGAAGAAGAAAAAGGAAAAACAAAAAAACGCTTTTTGGGGGGCAAAACCGGTGTCTTTCTCCTGCTCTTACATCAGTTCCCGGGCGCCAGCAGCTCTTTGGAGTAGCGGGCGGCAAAGCCCTCCTCCATGCGGTCGTTGAAATCCAAGAGCCTCGATGCCGGGAATCGGAGACCCCCCCAAAAAAGGCTTCGGTGTTCGTCTTCTGGTTTCCCTTTAATCTTGACCTCGGATTAATAAACCCCTGTTTATTAATATGGGAATGTCCAAACAAAAAGTTAATCTATGTTAATCTCTCTCTCTCTCTCTCTCTCGCTCTCGTGTCATCGGAATCCGTCCCACTGGCGTGGGGGCATACTGGGCAGCTGGCTCACTTCAGGTGCCCAAGGTTGCCATTTGCGGCAGCATGTGCTTTTTTGCGAAGGAAATATTTGCTTGACTTCTACTGGCAGCTTTAGTCGCACAGGATGGTCGGGCCCAATCCCGAGCAACATCCTGCTGAAAATCGGTGTGACCTTTCTAGTGACAGCCTGGAAACCGTGCCCACGTATTCAGCCCTGACATACCCATATTACTGTTGTTCCCTGCCAGTCTCTCTCTCTCTCTATATCGCCGTCCGGTCACTCTGCCTAGCATAGCTAGGGGCAAGACAGAAGCATGCACATCTGGCGCTGCTCCCAATCTGCAAGTCCAAGTCAAGAACTGCAGTTTGCTTACCGCATAGCCCGCCAGAGTGTGGGGGCCAAATTTGTGCAGCAAGGTCACCCATCCGTTTCCCACTTCGCCGCGGTGCGTAGCCCTCTAACCTCGGGGCGTTGGAAACGATCCACACGTTGCCAGGAGAAACAACATTTTTGTTCAGCCCCCCACTGCAAAATACAGAAAGCCAAAGCAACCAAGCAACGAAGTTGTTTGCTTACGATGGTCTATTCCTAAGCCAAAGGGTTTCAGCTGACCCCAACTTGTTCCAAATCTGGCCAGGTATTTCAACAACGAAACACCAGGATCCATGACACTCAAAGGCAAGGGTTAGTAGATGGGTTCCACTGGTGGCTGGGTTGGTTTGATTTCATGGAGGCCATCCATTTTCACAAAAAGACACCTATGCGCGTGACCCGAGCTTGAGGTTTTTAATGTGTCTGAGCTATCCGGGGTAAATTCTGGGTTCACATGGCCAAACTGGACCGCAGGGTGAGAGGCAGGTACACAACGCATGCCGGGCCAGTGACTCCAGAACCAGAAGAAGTTGCAGGGTGAACTCCTGCCGCGCCTGCTTCAGATTGCGGTTCGAATGCTTGAAGTTTGGCGTTCCAAGACGCATCCCCGATGCAAACGTGCATGTCAAGGGTTGAAAGAGGAATGTCAGAGCTTGTCCAGAGCTTCAATGAATTCCCCTGGCGTGTGCCAGACGTGTTTGAACCTCTCCCTTATTCAAATGGAATCCACCTCCTAGACCACAAACGATACCAGGACATCTTATCCAAAGTGCCATGAGTTTGCATACCAGCATTACCTGCAGCGACTACAACAAGCATCAATGCTTTCGGTACCTGGGCGGCCTTTCCAATTCGTCCCATGTGTTTTTTTCATAGTGTGGTAGTCCTAGCTTTCAAGCTTTGCATGAGTGATGCTAGGCGGCCCTATGTCATGTAGGCTGTTCTTGCACAGCCAAAATCGCCTCAAAAGGACGCGTATGGTCACGGGTCTAAGACTCGGTTGCTTTCTGATTCTGCTCCCCTGTTAAAAGTTCAACTTTTAGTGGTTTAGTGGAAAACCCACTAGTTGGCCAAAAGTTAAAGTCCTAACAGCCAAGCAAAAATGCACCAAAGTGTAAGGCAATTGCAAAACTCCGCCAAAGCTAGCGCCACCTGGCCCCTCGGCCAGGCAGCTTTGTGCTCGACCGAAGGTCTTCTCGCATAAAGCTGTGCCGCTGCCTGCGAGGGGGGCAGTTTTGGGGGCCCTGCGCTATAGGAACCCCTCAACTCAAAGGATTCTTGCCACAGGTATCCTTCTAGGGGAAATAGATGGGTTTCTCTGGTAGATGATTCAACCACCAGGTAAACCAGATCTATTTTTCTACCAAAACAACCAAAAAGGACGCCTATGATTCTTGCTGTTGGAGACATGTTGTGCCGTCGAATTTGTGGATCTTGCCAACTTGTCTTCCAGGCCAAGGAACGCATAGAAAGTTGCGGTTACAGTGGGCGTGAGCAAAGAGAGTGCCCAAAGGTGTGTGGCTGGGGTGAAGAATGTTGATGATGCTCTCGCTGCTCGCCAGTGCTCCGTACCACCGCGGCCACTGCATGTCGGAAAGAACATGCGGCAAACAGGCGCACTGCGAGCCCTTTCATTGGTATTTGACACCATGTCCGTGACATCAGAAATTGGCCGAATGGACTCACGGACTGAGCATAGAGATCAACAGCCAGAGCTTGGCTTTCGCAGCGGTAGCTCTCCGTGTTTCTTACTGCCAAGCGAGGTGCAACAAAAAATGATAACCTCTTGTACGCAAAGCCAAAGTCCAACACCTTGTGGAACCTCCGAGTCAGCCAACAAGCTAGCCAAGCAGCCCACCAGCCCAGCAGCCTAGCAGCCCTGCCTTCAATTTGGCCTTCCTCTGGTCTCCAGGCACGTAGCGGCCGTCCTGGATGCAGCTTTTCTGCGCCTGGGCTGCCCGCCGAACCACAGCTCTTCGCTGGCAACAAACGAAAATGGGATGCTCCAGTGCAGGTGTCTCACCAAATGTGGGGATCCAACGGGATCTCGTTGAATGTTCCAAGAACACGCCCAAAAGCAACCAATCCCCGGGCTCAGGGTCTCCAATTTGCCATGTGCGTCTAAATTTGGACTTGGTTTTCCCCACCAAAACAAACATAAAAACAACAACGAATCTTCCGAGCGTTAAATCAAAGCTTTGGAACCACAACCTGGGCAACGTACTCAAAAAAATGCCATCCAACCAACCAACCAACCAACCAGCCAGAGAACAAGACCTACGGAAACCCAGCCCTAGAAGAAACAAAAACACCTGTTCCCTGAACACAATTTTGGCACCTGATAAACCATTGCCCCCCCTGAAACAGGCAGAAGAGCCAACAAAACCAAAAAACCAACTTGCGCCACAAACAGCGGGGGCTGACTGGACGAGCGGGGCTCGACGAGTCGAGCACCAGTTGGATGGTTTTTCTCGGGGTCATTCCATTTCTCATCCCCGCTGAGCACCAGCAAGGTTGGTTCCTGACTATTTTTTGGGTTGGCTTGGGCCGGTGTTCGGCAAATCTGCTGAAGAATGTGTTTCTTGGACATTGCGTCTCAATTTGGTATTCACAAATGTGCGGAGCCTGTTGTTTTTTGAACTCACAAAGTGCCGAAGTCTAATGCAGGCGAGCAGCCATCTTAGAGAAAGCACCGTGCTACTGGCCCATGCTGGGACTTGAGACGAAACTGCCGCGGCAGTTTGAAAATGGCAGCCTCGCCCTGCCATAAGACGACCTCACGGCGGCGAATGTTTTGCAATTCAGCCTTTCTGCAAGCCAGGAGTCCCACAAAAAACTCAACTTCCATTTGCTTTTTCGCCCCTGGATAAATGAACACGTATTTCAACTAGTGAAACCGATTCCCTTTCAAACCAAGTCCATGAACTCAGGGAGTGAGATGGTCATGGGTCAAGACCCCGTACCCCCAGTCAACATCCCAACCCCCACTAAAATAGGTTCTAAAATGGGTGGTGCACCTATCCCAAAACGGAACCATTTGATTTTGAAGCATGGCCAGATATTCATTTCAGCGAACGGAAGGCATCGCGGGCCAAAGTCAACGCGCTAAATTCCAGCGCGAGAGAGCCGCCAAGGCCGCGGGCTCCGAGGACTTCTCACCTTCACCTTGCAAGGAAGCCACGCGCAGCGGACAGTGGGAAAAACCTGGTGTCATGGGGGCTGGGGGGGAGGGAGGGGAGCATGCAAGGACGATTCATTATTTGACAAGCCTTGTGAATTGGAACTCGATAGTTTTGGTTGTCATTGATGGTTTATTCTTCGGATTTCGGGCGAACTCGAAACCTCCAAACCAAACCGCTTCAGAAACTCCCCCCCGGCACCTTCGCCTTCCGTCTTTGGCGGCAGGGCAGCCGGGGCGTAGCCGTGTGACGGCCTACGTCGGGAACAGCCAAGCGGTGCGTCAAACAGCCCCACATTCTTCCAACATCAGCAGGTGTCAATAAAAAGTACAGACTTCGTGGCAGCATGGTCAGATAATAAAGATTGATAGACACATTAGATAGATAGATAGATAGATAAATAGATAGATAGATAGATAGACTAGATAGATAGATAGATAGATAGATAGACAGACAGACAGACAGAGAGATAGATAGATAGATAAATAGATAGATAGATAGATAGATAGGTAGGTAGATAGGTAGATAGATAGATAGATTAGCATTAGATTAGATTAGATTAGATTAGATTAGATTAGATTTAGATAGATAGATAGATTAGATTAGATTTAGATAGATTAGATAGATAGATAGATTAGATTAGATTAGATTAGATTTAGATAGATTAGATAGATAGATGGATAGATAGATAGATAGACAGATAGAGAGACAGATAGATTGGATTAGATTAGATTGGATTAGATTAGATCAGATTAGATCCGATAGATAGATAGCTAGATTAGATAGATTAGATAGATTCGTTTCGATTCGATTAGATTAGATTAGATTGCCAAAAAGATAGAATTATAGAAATAAGTAAAGAAAAAAAGAAAGAAAGAAAGAAATAAATAAAGAAAGAAAAAAGAAAGAAAGAAAGACAAACAAACAGAAATACAGAAAGAACACAGAAAAACACAACTGGAAGGAAACAATAAAGCAAACAATAGTTACTGGCAGTTGATCAATATTCCTGTTTCCGGAAAACGCCATCTTCGCGAGAAAAACAGTTTCTTTCGCGAATCTTTCGCGACTCCATCGCCACGCCCTTTTGTTTGCAGCGTGCGCTCTGGAGCCATTGCGGCTGCTGCAGTTGTGCTTGCAAACACGGTAGCCGCAGTTCACTTGCGTGCAGTACGTAGTGTCAAGTGCAGGCAGTCACCGTCATTCGCCCTTGCCACTTGCGGTTGCCGGTGATGTGCGGAACCTTGCAACAAGCTCCCTGGCCTTTCGCCGGTCTTTCGCGGATCTTTCGCGAAACTTTCTCCAAAATTGCCCAGCCAACGTTATTGATTTGCACCAATCCCAACACAGGCAGGGAATCAATAATGCAAGTGTAGGTGCTGCGTATCTCCCTCTCTACAAGGGAGCGGGGTCTGCACATATGTAAGTGCACAGGCATGCCTCCAAGAATTCAACGCGGAATCTTTCGCGAAAAAATAAGTTTCTTTCGCGAACTCCATCGCCGATCTTTCGCGGCGGGATTTAAGCCAAGACGAATGGTCACCGAATACATAACTCCTTGCAAGGACCTTTTGATCAACCCCCAGTTAAAGGAACATACATAAAGATTGTGCTAAACAAAAAACAACATGATAAATAAAGCACGACATAAAACAATAACCTCAAACGAAAGAACAAAAGCGACGTAAATAAATACAGACACAACAAGAAACGTATAAACATGACACATAGCAACAAGAGGAAACAAACAAAATAAATATAAACAATGGGTATAGTATTCAACACGTCCACCCTTCGGCTTCGCAGGCGCTGGTAGGTCCATTTAGAAGACAAGAAGGTCGTAAATGTCGACGGGTGGGTCAAATCAACAACTTAGGCATGTTGAAGGAAAACATCAAACTACAGCCCACATCCCATGATGCTGGCCTAAAGGCAAGCTAAGTCATTGGGGTGTGCGCTTGAAGCTGCTTCAACACATTGCGTCTCGATGACGCGTTGCTTGCTTCTCAACCCGTCCGCAGTTCATCGTTCCAGGTCCAGCCACAAACATCACCAGGGGTGAAAGTCTATGGCACAGATCTCTTGTGGGTGCAAGTGGATGGCCAAACCACCACCTCCAGTTGCCTCAGTCCACTTTTTTTTTTTTTTGGTGGGGTGTATAACAAAACATACTTCCAGTAGCGATAGATTCCCTTCGAAACCATAAAAAAAAAGCGAATATTCTTTGCAGCAAATGGAACACCAACCGCCATGGATCAAGTTTTTTGTGGACGACTAAATCACACCGTAAAGCTACCATGGCGGAGTGATGCCATTCGTGAACCCACTCACGGCGAAGGTGAGGCCCCTGCTTCGGAGATGTCTTCTCCTGGTGCCACTCACCCGATGGTTCACTAACATGGAACCTACCCTCCCACCAGTTAGCAGCCGAAACCTCACGTTCGGGACCCGGTCCCTTTAAAAGGAAAATGGTCCAAACCAGGACCCCCCAAAAAGAACGTCGAGCGAAAACCCACGTTAGCTGGTGGACTGGTGGGAGGGTACCAGCGGCTGGTATGGACCATTCTCCTTTCAAAGGGCTCTGCTAAGTTCCATGTTGGAGGACTGGAGTAAGAGCCTTAGCTTTGGGCCCTGAAATGAACTCCTCGGTTGCGAAATCTGCGAAGCCCTGCTAAAAGTGACCAACTTTTAGTGGTTTAGTACGGAAAACCCAAATTCGTTGGCAAAAAGTTAAAGTCCTAACAGCCAAGCAAAATGCACCAAAGGAGTCTGTCATCCCAGCAGGGATGAGCACACCTCGCTCTTGATGCATCGAATCGAAGGGAAAAAACAGGCATCACGTCCTACCGCCCCTGTGGCCAAAGAAATTCAAAGTGATTTGCAATTTGCCAATACCGGTCAAGAGGCGCCTTGAAGAATGGCAGACCGAAAAAGCTGGCGACGTTTGCCAGGAAAGTCAACGTGCCTTTTTCACCAACTTGTAGGAGCCCCCCCTCAAAACAAAGCAATGGAGCAGAAGTCAAAATTGTAATTTCAAACAGGTGGCGACGCATGCCGCCAAACAGTGCGTAGAGGCAGCAAGTGGCAAACCAATGCAGCCCGGACAGGGGGACGAATCCTGCTGTGGCCCCCAAAATATGGTTACCGCACTGCTCCCTGCAGGTACAAACCTCAAGCTTCGAGAGCGTTTAGGACAGTCGGTTGGTTTGTCGAGTTGGCGATTGGCCAAAAAGCTCGGCTTAGCTCAGTGCTGTGCATGAACAAACACCTGTTGGTAGGTAGTTTAAAGCAGTATCTGGGCTGTTCTCAGATCCCCCGCGCGCTAAAAGTGTAACTTTTGGTGGGTGAAATCGAAATCCAACCACTACACACGAAGGAGCTATAAACCTAAGGAACCGGATGGCTGGGAACCACATCCGCCCCAACTGGTGCAGGAGCTTCTCCATGTTACCCGCCCTTTCCCACTCGCCATGCCTCCCTTGAGGGCGACTTGGACCGAAGCTGCCTGGTCACAGTTGTCTTCCATTTGGTTGTTTTGCCTGGAAAAAAAGGAGCAACTAGTTTGTGTAGTGACAGATGTTCTTTTCAAAACAACGGGGGAAAACTAGAAATAACTTCATTTGCTTTTTCGCCCCCTGGAAAGAGCAACAATATTTGCAGTAGTGAAATTGATTCCCTTTCAAACCAACAAGGGAAAATTCAAAAAGATCCCTTCAGCAAATGGAAGTTGTAGGACTCAGAAATGAACACCCCCCTGCCAGACTTCAAGTCCAGAATTCATTCGCACAGTCACGCAGCGGAGATCGAGACGTCTAGGTATGAATGGGGCATCATCTCTTGGTCACCCCTACCCATCCATGCACACGCGTACATTATGGACAGCGACTTGAGGAAGCTCAAGGAAAATTAGGGGAAGATGGGCCGTTTCTGCTCATATTTTCATGGCTTCCCCCAATCGGTGCAGCAACCAGGATATTTGAGACAAGCAAACTTGCACGAATCCTCATCCCAGTAGGCCCTTTTCGACGGTTGCAAGGACATGCGTGAGCATGCATGCTTGTCATTCCGGCACGCTGACTTCAGATGTACTCATGCTCGTGCGAAGTTTCAGCATCCCCGTGTTGCAAGCCGAACAGCCAGGTCTATTCCGAAACCAGCCGCCCATGGCCTGCGGGGAGGCGGCTCGCGCCTGCCGATAGTGTCAAACCAATATTCCGATTTGAAGCAAGCCACGTTCTCACAGAACTTCGTATCACCAGCTCCGGAACGGCTCCCTTCCACCCACCAACTGAATAGGTTACTTTGCTGTGAGGTTGGTGTGGCCGGCCGGCTAGTGCTTTGCGCGTGCCTGCCAAAGCGAATGGATTTCTCCCATGCACGCCCCTAGCCCAGCTGCACCTGGATCAATTGCAACACCATGGCTGTCTTATTTCCCTCTCTAACCAGGGATTGAATCCGATTCGATCCGCTGGAGACTGGTCCGTTCACCGCGCATGGGCCCATGGTCGCCCGCTCGCCCAACTTGTCCCGATGCCAGGCCAGCCTTGGCGAGCGAGACCTCGGATGCACGAACGTCCAGTGAACACGAACCCGACACCCGGTGGATCCGTTCAATGATGTGTTCAAAACGTGGGGTTTGTGTAAACCCCTTATAGGTGAAAGGGTAAACAAAGAAAAACACATGTAAAGGAATTAGAACAACGCAGCTTCCAAGGGTTGACCTGACGGGTAAATTTTAGGGCAGATTCACAGCTGGTGGCGCGAGGCTGCTATCCATGACCATGCGCACCACCTTTTGAAAAATATGGAATCCCAACCAAGCACCATGAAAGACGTTACGGCTGTCCTTCGCACAAAGACTTGCGTAGCATCAAGCAGGCGGGCAACCGGGGTATGGCCACGAAAGCCGACTGGGCATTGGATCAGTACTTGAGGTAGAGGTGGGCAATGTCACACCTGTAAATCAAGGATCGGGACAAATCTGTGCTCCTCTTACACCAGTTGCCCCTTCTGGAGGTTATCCTCTGGAAATGATATGAAAGCGAGTCATACAAGCATTTTGTGGCCTCGAAATCAGCCAGAAAGGGTACCAAACCTCAAAAAACAGCTTCCAATGTTGGTTCAAAGGCATAACAATGGAGGCCAGGGGAAGTGAGTAGGTTGCATGGCTCTGAATCAGTACATCGTTTCTCCGAGTGACATGGACATAAAAGGGCCGGTCCCAAGCAAACAGCTCCAAAAAGGGGGACCAACAAATAAAAGGATACCTGGTTGGTGCGTAGGTCATTGCTCAGTTGCCCAAAAAGGCAAACCCTAAATATGGACCAAGAAGGGAAACCCCAAAAGGTCGGATCCGGTCGATTCGCTTTGAACCGAGAAACGGGTCAGTCAGATTCCAGTCTCGTCGATTCGGAAGGCATTGGTGGTTCTCCAAGGCCACCCGAAGCCCACCATTTGAGTCACTTGCTCAAAACCCGGTACTACTTACTAACCCTAAACCCTAAACCCAGAACCATGCTTCAAGAATTAAGAAGCCGGATCTCCGGAGCTATTTATGGTACTAGAATGGTCTACCCAGAACCATGCTTCAACAATATAGTCTACCCAGAACCATGCTTCATGAATTAAGAAGGCGGATATCCGCAGCTATTTATGGCAAGGGGATTGTCCCTTACGGGCTTTAAATGTGGCTCATTTTCGACCGCTGAGAAGTTGGTGACTTCACCCTGGCTAGCACTCGGCTTCAGCCCCAGGTGCCCCCACAAGCCCCGCAGACGAGGTCGGCTCGAGCCCTCCGTTCGCTCACCTGGAATACCCAGGCGCGCCGACCAAGGGATCAATTAAAACAAAATGCTATATACATGTATATATATAAAATATCTCTGTGTGTGACTAATACAGCTTGCACAACTACACACATCAACATTAAACTTATGCACTTATGTGTTTATAAAATATGTACTACACGTACATGTGTATTGATATGTGTATATGTTTATGTACTATATGTATATGTGTATATATGTATATGTGTATATATGTATATGTGTATATATGTATATATGTACATATGTATATGGGTATATGTATGTATATATGTATATATGTATATATATATATATATGTATATATATATATATGTATATATGTATATATGTATATATGTATGTATGTATATATGTATATATGTATATATGTATATATGTATATATGTATATATGTGTGGGTGTGTGGGTGTGTGGGTGTGTGGGTGGGTGTGTGGGTGTGCGCGTGTAGTATGTGCAGACTGCAATGGGCATTATGAAATGAATAACAGTCTCTTACCTAAATTTTGAGTGACCTGGAATAACAGTATACCACAACTAGGACCTGGGGAGGCTTGAGCAGGATGCCAAAAGAACAAGGATCCTGAGCGACACACAGCCTGTAACCCAGTGCCCAACAAACAACTCAATGGGGCACTAACCTATCATTTTGTCAGATGCCAGCCACCATCCCAGGCATCCCTGGCAAGAAACATCACTATATCCCCGCCCAATGTTCCCTCGTACAAAAGGGGAAGTGCATTGTTTGCCCCCTGCTTAACATGGAACCCAAAGCGGGACATTCCCCAGGACACTCCTCTACAAATGTTCAAGCTGATCTCTGATCTGAACCGGGTCAAACGATATACGTCCGGACAGGGTCCCGCCCATGTTCCCTTAAAGCATCACCCATGGCCCATTACCTTCCCGTAAATTGGGCCCATATTTGTTTCCCAAATGCTGGGCTGTCCTCAGATCCGCTGTTAAACGTTTAACTTCTAGTGGGTTCTGTGGAACGCCCCCCACCAAACCAACTCAAAACAACTAACAACCTAATGGCTGGGTTCAAGTCCCATCTAGAGAGAATATTTGTTTGTTGGTTGCAATCCCCAGCCAGCAAGTGTTTACTTAATAATGCTTTAAAATATGATGACTTTTTAAAGGGAGCCACCAAGAATATTAATGTTCAAAACTTTCCTTCTTCTGCCAGCGGGTGGCTGAGACGTTGCGCCGCCATCTGTTTGCCCAGGAACACCTCCTTGGCAGCTTGGCCTCGGTGCACGCAGAGGCGACGTGCCGAAATGGGCGTGCCCATTTTTCAGCATAGGTGTCCCTTTCTGGTTGAAAATAGATGGCCCTGGTCAATGGAGTAAAAAAAACCACCTCAACCAGTGGAACCCATCTATGTCTTACCAAAATAACCTAAAAAGGACACCTATGTTTTTCAGCTTCCCTCCAATTGGTGGTTTTCCCGGCCCCCAGGGCACTCGACGACAACTGCGGCCACCAAAACTCGAGCCCCCTACCTGATTGACTCTTCTGGACCGCACACGGATGATAAAGCAGCTGCGACTCGAAGAGCTGAGTTTTGGGTCATCAAATGGCAACATAGGGACCGTGATGGCTTGCCTTCCGTTGGCCATCTGGATTTGTTGTGCGAAGGACTTTCAAACAACTGCCCTACAAATCGACACCCGCGCACTTTTTCGCTACCCTGCACAACCCGCTAGTAGTTGGGGCAGGGTAGCGGAAATCATCTTACTGAGCTGTGCTGGCCAATCCTACTCCACAGTCCCCAGTAGAAAAGCACCAGAAATGGGACCCTTCCGTCCGAAAGGCTCTTGCAGCCCAGGTGCTGGGTGTTGCCGTGCGTGGCGGCACGAAGGATCCTGCAACCGGGCTGGCTGAACCAGTTCCCTCCACAACGCGATGGCCAACTGAAATGACCTGCTCCCATTTGGCTGTGGGTCAGGTTCCGCTGACCTGGCGGGTCCAGGTTTCGCTGACCTTTGTTGAGCTGATATGGCCGTGGGTCAAAACCCTGTACCCCTGGTGAACGTCAACATAGGTGGTAAGTGGGTGTTCATCCGCCCCAAAATGGAGCCATAGGTCCTGACCCATGGCCATTTTGGCCCATATCTGGCGAAATTATTGAACATCTATATACAAATCAAAAGCGGTCCCGAACGCAGTGCACAAACAGGTGACTGGCCCAACATCGTTCTAGCTTTGGGGACAATGAAGCACTCAACAGAGCAACGGATATCGTGACCCAATCAAGCAGCAAGAACCATCTACCGGGGATCCAGGGCAAGGAGCCAAATAAAGGCCCTTGAGCTGGAAATGACGCGCGAAACAGTCATAGCACCTCTCCATGGAACTCACTTTTGGTGGGTCTACCAAAGGGTCTTCGGGGTTCCATTTCAAATCTGATGACTAATCCTTGTCGCCTTCGGCCGATGCGCATTCCCATTTCTCCGAACAGATTGCGCTTGACCAAAACATGTAGGATTTACAGTCCTCAGGATGGAACAAAGAAGGACCCACGTGGTTGCGGCTGACCCCTCTGCAAAAGTGTTGTTTTCTTCTTTTTTTATTTATTTATTTTGAGTCCAAATTCACTGTTTCCCACAAAGTTAAAGTCCAAAGATCCAACCAAATCACCATAAAGCAAACAACACCGATGAGGGTGTGTTCCATATTTGGACATGAAGCCACGGGAACAATCATGAAACCACTTGACCAAATCGAGGCTGAAACTCTCTTCGCCCAGCTGACACGCAAACTGCGAAGGCGACAGGCCTGACTCCTTCGGCAAGTCACGGCTCACCGGCTTGATCCTCGCGCGAAATGGCGGGAACAGCCAATCCACATTTAGCAGTCATGAAGTCTTGGTTGACGTTGGAAGGGGGCAAAACATTAAATTTCAGCAGTTAAGTGGGGATTTCCCACTAAACCACAATGAGTAAAAATGAAAAATGCTTCCCAACATCAACCATGAGGTGTTCATAAGAAACAAAGAAGCGATTCTCAGCCTCCCATCTTGTTTGAAAGGAACACCTGACCCACAAATGGTCCCTGGACGCGATAAACCCCCGACAAACAGCTCAGCTGGAGCGGGGGAACAATCATGCTCCGGAGTCATAAGACGAAAGTCCACTTTCCCAGCCCACTGCCAACAAGGCACCCGATGCCGCCACCAAGCTTCATATCCAGCCCAGTGCCCCTGATCCATTCTTGTCACACCTAAGCTTCAAGTCCGGAAAAACAAAAAATGTGTTTTTGTTGGCCGTCAGATGGACAAATCGACGAACAGTACATTGAATTCGCGCATCAGCTGGGCTCCTGCAAATTCCCCCTGGTTAACACTAGGGTGAAGCAAATCCATGGTCCTGATGTCGAGCGATGTGGAGCATGGATGAATCTACTTGAGACCAGGGGAGGCAATCGACAGCGCTCAAACCGCCCTGCATCCTCCGGCCAAAAAGCGATTTCAACCAACAGAGCGCAAAGCACGCGGCGAAGTGCAAGCACAGCACATAAGTTAGGAGAAGAAGGCAAAACTGAGTGAAGGGAGGAGGGATGAGTGGGCAGAAGCGCGGAGAGAGGAAAGGAGTGAAGAGATGGGAAGAGCGAACAAAGATTGCTAAAGAGAAGAGCGCAAAGAGCTGAGAGCAAAGTAAATTTAACCCCGGATTAATAAACCCCTCGTTCCCTTTTAGTGGGGATTCATCACTTTTGGAGGGAGTCCCCCCCAAATTAATGGGACGGGTTTATTAATCCTGCGTCAACATTAAAAAGCGGAGCGAAGACTGGGGAGAAGGGAGGTCGAGCCTCGGGGCGGGCTGGGGTGGGGGGGCGCAGCGGAGGTGCCCGTAAACTGTCCTAAGCTAAAATGTATTGGACCGCAGTGAGCGCGCGAAACATATATATGACAGTTGTTGGATTCACTGGCCCCATGCCCATGACTTGCCATTAGCTAGATAGGCTCCAGCTAGAAAGCCAGCTTTCGCGACCTGCCAGACTAGTGAGTTTCCGGCTGCAAAATGGTGTGTTTGTGGTTTGGAGGTAGGATTAGTGGCTTGGGGAGTTGAACCAGCTGTGCTTGTAGAGCCTACCCCCCTAACCTCCAAACCACCAATCCAAACCATCAAAGGGAAGCTGACACGTGTTCATGCTCACGTGAACAGCGGCTCCTTGCCGGAGTCACCTTCCGCGGCGCACTCCTAAGAGCGATTCGATTTTGGTGCGGTGGGGATTCACCCGAATCAGGAAAGCTGAACCCCACCCAAAAACGCCCAAACTCCAAACCAACGGATTCACCTTGGTTCACAGGACCTGACAAGGAGCGGTAAACACAGCGCGACGGCATTTTCGAAAATTAAGGCGCACTTCGATCAGTCTTTTGGTATGAAGGTTCCGCGCCTATCGTACCTTGCCGTGCATGGGTTGACGCTTGTTGGACATATCAGCCAGCCGAAGAAACAAACAAACACGGTCACAGACGGGCACAAAGTGGCGCGATCAAACAAATCAATGGAAGCAGGCAGTCTCGGTGGGCCCGCGCATTGCTTGACATCTGCCCCAAACTTCTGACAAATCCCATTCAAAAACGCACGTCTCGCGAGAAAACAGCATATCCTCAGGCGATATCCCCACCAGCACCACAGCCCTGACATCCCTCAACTGCCCTCGCGGGCCTCGCGCTCTGGGGCCCCCACTTTGGGTCCGCGCCTCGTACGGTGACGCGAGTATGCAGGATGCAGCAGGGTGCCCGCGGGTTGAAACAGGGTGCCTTAAGCGAATAGGCCAAATGCGGTGAACAGTGACAAGTCACAGGAGTGAACTCGGCCTGTTCAATCATATCATTTCAAGTAGCTGAGACCACACACACCACAACAGTGCACAACATCTACACGGTACCTACCATCCCCTCCTTAGATTCCGTGGCCAAAACGTGCAATTGCCAGGGCCCCGATTTCAAAGCCAACCTGAGCTGCTTCCCACCCTGTGAAGTGCAGTTGGTCAGCCAGTTGGAAGCTCGTGAAGTAACCGTCCAGTCAATGCTCTTGACCTTTACGGTGCATGACGTGGGTCTTAGAAACAAAGTTGCAACGACATGCCATTCGAGACTTGGAACTTGGAGTGTCAGTCGCTGGTGATTGGTAGAGGTGTTTGCGTGTGTTCTATTCTTAGGGCTGGTTTTCCGGGCTGGCAACATCCCAGCATCACCAGCCCCACTTGGCCGAGGGTTGCCTATTGGCTCTATTGGTAGGCAGTTGGGAGTTGCTGGGGGCTGGTTCAAGTTAAGGAGGGTTTAGGCTGGCTTAGATCTTCATTAGGGTGTGGTTTGGGGTTCATTTAGGGCTGACATCCTGATGGGCAGGGTTTAGTGGATTTGGGGCCGGCTTGGAGCTGATTTGTGTTGGGTGTGCTGCTGGAAAAACGGTGCCTTTAGGGTTGCAATGTTGTTGCGTGAGTTGTGGGCCAGTTTTGGTGGTTTGGGGCAACGCTCCAAAACCAATCCTACGCGAGACCAAAACTCACGTAGCCACTTCCCAAAAGCAGCCACAAGGCCATTTTTTTCCAGCAGCACACCACCCTAATGAAGATCTAAGCAAGCCTAAACCCCCCTTAACTTAAACGAGCTGCCAGCAACTCCCAACTGCCTTCCAATCAGAGCCAATAAACAACTCCGTCGGGGATGCGGCAAGCCAACCAACTAATCAACGAACCAACCAACCGACCAACCAACCAACCAACCAACCAATTAACCAACCAACCAACAAACCCAGCCCTAGTAAACAACCAGCCCTAAAAATGTGTATATATATATATATAAACGGATCCTGCTGGTGATTCCTTGGACGAACAAACCAAGCATTGTGCAGGACAAATATAGAAATACTTCACACTCTGGCCGTCACGCTCCTTATAGCAGCCATTACAACATGGAGCGCGCCAACGCTATACTAAACCAACGCCAGAAACACCACGCTGCAACTCGAGGAGAACCGCCAAAACAGAATGATTCGAACCATGGAAGCGTCAAACAGCCGGAAATGCATGGGTTGCTTGGATCGCAGCTGTTCTTGAGGCTCGAATCCCTTTCAGGGGGATGCCAGAGATTCTAGGGCTACCTTCCCCATTCCAGGGATCGGGGAATCTTTCAGGAAACCATCAAAATCCCAGGATAAACGGATCCGGTTTTCGAAAAGAAGGATGCTTGAAAAGAATGAGCAAATCCTACCCCCCCCCCCCCCACCAAACCCCACCCCCACCAAACCCCACCACCCCCCACCAAACCCCATCCCCCACCAACCCTAGAAAGATGATTCCCCCCCCCCCCCCCGCAGTCATCCGATTCGAGCCTGGCGAGGCTTTGCCCAGCACGATCTCCTGCGGCAGGTCCAAGAAACCCTTCAGGAATGGAGGGAATCCCTGGAGGATTTCGTCGTGAATGAGACCCGGAATCTGACAGGTCAAAACCCAAAGCCTTCAAAGGTCGATTCGCCTTGGAAAGCTGAGCTTAGGAATCTTGGACTGTTCTTTCGGACCGTTCTTCGGATTGGCTCTTAGAAGCTTGATATTAACTAGGCTCCTGTTCAACTTCACCGAAAGTGGCAAAACATTCCAAAAGCACTAAAACTAAGGGACGATGCACAGTAGCCCTTTAATAGCAAGATGTAGATTTGCACCCAGGAAGTTGATAACAGTTGCCCACAAAGAATCCCTGTGAGGCAACACTCTCGCGCTACGGAGAAAACGACCTCTTCGTGTTCCATGGACGGGATTGACTCTCAGTAGTAGCAGGCAAGCATAGGCAAGCTGTGTTCTTCGCATGCCAGTACGCAAATCCAGACGTGCAGTCTAAAAAGAAGCAAAAACATCCAACCCGCCCCTTAGCCCTCAGAAAAAAAAAGCAGCGCCGCGCTCCACTCAATAGTTGGCAAAAAGTTAAAGTCCTAACATCCCAGGTAAAGGGAAACCTCCCGCTGCACCATCACAGCGGCCCCGACCCGCCGACCCGCCTCCATCTCCGTACAGTTGCTCCGGTAGGCGAGGGAAGCTGCCTGGAACATCGCAATGGTACTCGCGGCTGGGACTGCCGTGATTTACATAACCTCCTGCCCACAAATGGACCCAATTGGAATTCCGCTGACTGGTTGCACTGTTCCGGGAGCACAGTGAAGCGGGTCCAACATGCACATGAAACCTGAAGTTTTGGGGTCCTGGAAGGCTATCTTCCTTTGAACGGGACCCTCTTGTGGGTTCCATGTTAGACGTCAGGGTAAATCGCGGGACCTTCCTGGCATCACTGCCTCTCCCCAATCAGCTCCCAATTTCCCAGAACGGAGGCTTGGTTTCCGGACGTTTCTCCTAAAAATGGCCACCCCCCTGGAATATTTGGGGGGCTTCTCAGGAGAAATGAGAACAAAATGGGGACCATCCCGAATGGGGACCGCCCCGAATGGTAGCCTGCATTGGCCAGGGAGATCAAAAAGGAAAGTCCGGCAGCCACGGACTGTCTATTTCACATGGACCCAGAAACTGCTCAGCATTTGCGATCACGAGTCGCATCGCTGAAGCAGCCATGGATCGCGGCTGTGGCTGTGTGCTTGAGAATGCAGGTCATGACAATAACTTTGCTTCGGGAGTGCGGAAGAGTAAGGCAGCACGCCTACGCATCACAAAAACACCGCCTTCAACAAACAAGCATCAAATTGCCATTCATGATGAGCATTGGTAGAGCAGAGAAGGTGCCTCAATCCTGATCGTCGCTGCAGAGTCGGAGCTAGAAGGATGAAGTGTCCTGATGTCCACCTATGATTAGTAGAAACCCCCTAAATAAAAGCCAAGCACGCCCCCAAAAACAAATAATAATATACTCCTAAACAAAGCTAAGCTTTCCCCCCTAAACACTTTTTGACCATGCCCTGCCCAATCCCAATTGTTTGGACCCAGTCCAGAAGCCAACAAAAACACAATTTATGGGTGTCCATGTTCATGATGTTGTGTGCTTGTTTGTTTGTTTGTTTGTTTGTTTGTTTGTTTGTTTGTTTTTTTGTTTGTTTTTTTGTTTGTTTGCTTGTCTGTTTGGACAACATATATACTCGAAAATCATGGCAAAACCATCCGGCAAGGCTACACCCCACAACGTCATTTGCACCAAAGGCTAATGCTTTGAGTGACTTCCCGGAAATGGATCCTTATTATTGCCGCACTATTGCCGTTGAAAAGCACGGGCCCCAAATTTAAGCTCAGCTGGGTCATTTCATTTCTCAAAATACACCCAAAAACAACTCAACAGTAGAGTTGGGCCATTTTGAAGACTGCAAGTTTGCCAAACGCATTGGATTTTGACCGCAATACAAAACGAATTCAAAGGTAGAGTTGCCAGACTTCCTGGAACTCGACAGTAGTACAAAGCAATTCTTGCTAAACTTCATGGGCTCCAACTCCAAAAAATGTCACATTGAAAACAAACGTTTATCTTTATTTAGGGGAGTTGAGGCCCCCCCCCCCCATTTTATCAATTGGTTTCGTTGTTTTTGTTCGTTCGTGTTGGTTTTTTTTTTGGGGGGGGGTTGCCTGCCACAGGTCTGCCTTCTGGGTTTCGCATGGATGTGGCATGGGTTTTCCAGGGTTTTCACGGGTTTGAAGCCTTGTGAGTTGCTCTTGTTAGGAGGCATGGGTTAATGTCCATCTCACAGACAGACAGACAGATAGACAGGCAGGCAGCCAGACGGACAAACGGACGGACGAACACACACAGACGCACAAACGGACAGAGAGACAAACAGATAGACAGACAACCTGCAGGCAGACAGACAAACAGACCAGACCAGACTAGACAGACTCGCGCGCGCCACGCGCACGGCAGAGACGCTGGTCTTCAAGCCTTTGGGGCCCCGGCCGCAGCATAGCGCGCGGCCAACTTTGCAGCCAGGCGATCGTCATCCTGGCGCTTCGGTCGCCCCTCGCACCCCCCGAGAAAAAGAACCGCCCCCCCAACACACCTTGGGACAAACAAAAATCAAACATTTTCGGAGGTCTGGTTTGGGCGGGGTGGTGTGTTTGTGGGGGTCCTAGGACAAGTTTAGGAGAGGGGGCGGGGTTCTGTAGGGACTCCATTTGGGACGCAAAGAAAGACAAACCTGAAACCCAGAAAAAAAAGTTCAACATCCCTTGCTTTAGTCGCATTCAGCTGGGATGCCTAAATCAACACGGATCCAAAGTGCCAATCCAACGGCTGGTTGAGACAGGCCCCAACAGCCACAGGACGCGGCAACCTTCGGGGTGGGAGGTGAAATTTAAACCTTGGAGGTGGAAGTGACCGACTTTTAGTGGTTTAATACGAAAAACCCAAATTCGTTGATAAACAATTATTCAGTCCTAACATCCCTTGGCAAAATGCACCAAAGAAACTTACTACAACACAAGCTCTAGTAAGCACGCAGGCAGTTGCGAGCACTCGCCGCTTGTCCATCCATGGCACTCCCACTAGCTGTGTTGCATTCCTACAATCAAACATGTTATGGCTGGTTCAACTTGAATATAATTTTATCGGGTCTTTCTCAGCGACTTTGTTACTGTTCAGAAGTGCAGTCTAGTGCAGGCACCCCCAAATTTCTTCCGCCCCACAAAAGACCAGGGAAGAAAATTGCCTTCCAAAACACCTCCAGGTTCCACATTATTGTATCAAAACACACAAAGAGCGCGCATATACATGTGGCCGCAAGCTCTTTGCCACCTTCGCCCACGCTACAGCGACTGAGCCGCTTTGGCGCCGCTCACTCGTGCCAGCGCCCGGCTTTTTCTTTGGCCGGCGTTTTCAGGCGCTGGGCGGTCGCTCGTCGACGTTTTCGGCGGCAGAAGCGTGCGAAAAAAAGAAAAGAAGGACATGTGCTTGGCCGGCATTTGGCTGCAACTTTCGGGCACGCAAAATCTCCCAAGCGACCAGAAGTTAAGGCTTCAAGTCTGCATCAAGAGGTCAGCTTTTGGCAACTGAGTTTGTGGCCAAAGGCCCGAGCTCAGGGTTCCCTGAAAGATACATCCAACATCACCTAATCACAAGGGGATGATCCACATGTTGGTAGAGGTGATGTGCTCACTTGCACAAAGGGCCTAGCAAGAAACAATGTCATCTTTTGGGACCCTTTTGGGACCTTTGCTAAAAGTAGACCAAAACGGAAAAACCAAAAGGCTAAACAGGTTGGCGTTGAACAGTTGAGTCTAGCTTTCAAAAACGTCCTTTTGACAGACCATATTCTTTGGCCACGCTCGTCAGCCGCGGGGCTTGTCACCAGGTCGTCTCAGAGCTACGTCCTTCTCGTTCCACACAGCCATGGATCAAAACACCGGCAGATGTCACCACCTGGGCAAAGCTTGCTACAAGCACCTGCTCAGCTTCCCATTTGTGGCAAGGCGGGAGCTTTCAGTATTCTAGGTCCTCCAGTAGAGAGGTACCCTTTCGATAGTCTGTAGGGGAACCCTCCCCCAAAAAAGGGTAAAAGGGCACTCTGGGGGACCTAGGTATTGCAACTCTCAGGGCTCATGCCCAAGGCTTGCCATGTGCAAAGCTGATGCCACTCGCAATCTGCAATTCGTCTTGTACTCAATCAACGCTTGGAGAAACCATTCCCACACACACACTCACACTCACACACGCACTCACACACGTACAAAGCATGTAGGCATACAGTAGTACAGCAGCAGGAGCGGCAACAGCAGCAGGAGCAACAACAGCAGCAGCAAAAAACCTGCAAAGGCCAGAACGACAGCCTCAACCGCATCATCATCATCATCATCATCATCATCATCATCATCATCATCATCATCATCATCATCATCATCATCATCATCATCATCATCATCATCATCATCATCATCATCATCATCATCATCATTGTCATCATCACCATCTGGCGTGCGTTCGGTTGTTCAGCACATATCTTCGCAGCATGGACCACGTCTTCCTGATTCCCCGTGCCATTGCCGGGTTTCAAAGCTGCGTGGCGCCTGACACTTCAGCCCAGCCGCATTGAAGGAGTCCACCCCGGGGGCCATGCGTACCTCACGGCATCGCTCGAAGCGCCAATTTTAGCGCGGTCGAGTTTTAACTGGGGACCCTGTGGACATCATTTCGGGGATCCATGTCCACAAACCACTTTTGAGGTGGTTCCCTTGGGGTTTCGCAAGTGAAGCAACTTTTGCCGGGCCACACGAAATGGAAGGATAGGAAAGCGACCTGGTGAAGAGCCGCAGTTAGTGAGCGGAGACTCGCGAAAGGATGAACTGAAAACATCGATAGCGTGGAGTTTCAGCAGCTGGAACTCCAATCAGATGCAAGCACGCTTCTTTTTCAAACGAGTAAGCACACTAAACCTTTGAGGGTGCGACTGTTTGTTTTTCCATGGAGCAAGGCTCCAGTCTTTCAAAAGCTGCATTTATGGTAGCAACAGCAGGCATAGACATCAGAAGCAAACCCTTCATACGCCTTTTGATCCATGTTGTTGTCATTCTCCCGCTTTGAAGTTTGAAAGCTGCACGTCGCTAAAGCGCGAAAAGCGTAATAGCTCTCAGCCACAACGAATGGGGTTACTCCAAAACAAGGCGAAAGGGTCAACCCGGCTGCCAGTATCAACCGTACAAACCGATTGAACTTCGAACAGTCTAAGGTGTAGATCCCTTCACTCTCCATCATGCCCCCCCCGCCCCCCCGCCCCACCCCCCAAACCAAACCCCATTCTTTCCAGGGATCCGAATCTTTCTAGAAAACCTCCAGAAACCCGGAGAAAAAAAAGGAGAACAAAAAACGGGTCTGGTTTTCGAAATCTCCCCCCCCACCAAACCCCACCAAGCCCCAGCCCCACCCTCCCCGCCCCCCGAGCCCTGCACCCCATGCCCCCCGGCCTTCAGCATTCCGCAGCAAACTTCCCGCACCTCCAAAGACACACCGAAGTGCTCCGAGCCCAGGACCAGTGCCCAACGCTCCGGCAGCGCCTTGACCTGACGAAACACCCAAGCACCTGTTTTTGAGTTATATCTCGCTTCCTGAGATTGGTCAGAACAAGTCAGATTGTTTTTTCCCCAACAGCTGAAAGCTTTGGGGTCTCAGCCCAGATAGGCTTCGGGGTGGTTCGGGGCGACCCTGAGCTAAGGTTCCACCAGGGTTCCACCAGGGTTCCACCAGGGTTCCACCAGCGTTCCACCAGGGTTCCACCATCCACCAGGTTCTGCAAGGGCTGCGGGGTGGTCCGGGGTGGTTTAAGGTTCCACGAGGGTTTGAGGTAAGGTTCCACATTCCAGCAATTTCTTCAAGGGCTGCGGGTCCGGGCTGGTTTCCACCAGGGTTCCAGGGTTCCACCAGGGCCCCACCAAAGTTCCACGAGGGCTGGGTGGTCCGGGTGGTTTGAGGTTCGGTTCCACAACATTCCCACCAGGTTTCCACCAGGTTTCCACCAGGGTTCCACCAGCCCTTCGCAGGCTTCCAGCTGCGGGGTGGTTTGAGGAAGGTTCCCGCAACGGTTCTACCAGGGTTCCACCAGATTTCCACCAGCGGTCTGGGCTGGTTTGAGGTTTGGTTCCATGAGGGTTCAACCAGAATTCCACCAGGTTTTGCAAGGTGAGGTTCGAAGGTTGCACGGTTCTAGCAGGGTTCCACGAGGTTCTGCGAGGGCTGCGGGGTGGTCTGGGGTGGTTTGAGGTAAGGTTCTATGAGGGTTTCAGGGTTCCACGAGATTCTGCGAGGGCTGGGGGCCCTGAGTTTCAAAGTGTTTACAGGGCTCCACAAAGTTCTGCAAGGATTCCACACGGGTTCCACAAGGCTCCACAATGTTCCACCAAGGGTTCCAGAAATGTTCTGCAAGTTCCGTGGTTTGTCCTGGAGGGAAGCAGTGTGTCGTGCGCCCGTCGTCTGAAAAGGCATCGGATCAAGATCGCTTTGCTCATGGGCGGAACACTAAGCAAAACCGAAATCAATGGTTTTTAGCACACTTTCACTGTTTTGTGACTTGCTCAGGCACATGTTGGCTTTGTGGCAAATCAGATCACGTCGCTGCGGGGCTCACGGTGCAGCAGAGTAAATGCTGCTTGGTGGGCTTTGGGTTCCAAGACTTCCACGAGACGCTGAGCTCCACGAAAGCCGATTGCACCGTTTGGGCCCGATCGGCCCCATCGCGCCCCGATCGGGGCCCGGCCCCGATTGCACCGTCGGGCCCCGATCGGGCCCCGATTGCGCCGTCGGGCCCCGGTCAGGGCGAGCTTGCGCTGTCACTCGTAGCTTTGCTTTAGAAAGTTACAAGGCGGCATCCTCAGCAACACCGGCGGTAAGGATGGTCCCGGTGTGTTCTGTGAGGATTCTGGGAGGGTGTGGTGCTGTTGGGGATATCGCCCGAGCTTATTTGGCTTAATCTGCAAACATGGTCTTCCCAAAAAGGTTAAAGTCCAGGAACTCAGGAAGTGAGATATAACTCAGCTACGAACCTGTGGATTGGATTGCCATTGGGATGCTCTTCCCAGCCCCAGAAAGATATACCGCAAAAAGAGATGCCTCTACAAATGGGTGTCTTGTTGGGGGCTCCATGTTCATCTTGGACAATCGGTGGTTTGGACTGGACTGGTGGTTTCCCATCCCACCTCGTCCAAGTACTTTGCCCCTTCCTGCACCACAGCCGCCAGAGTCAAAACGCCTTCTTCCCGCAGCTCCTTCAACAAGGGCACCTCAGTTGACAGCCGCCGGGCTGCCGTCATTGTCGAAAGTTCCTCAGACAAATGCTAGGTCCTCCAGTAGAGAGGTTGGAATAAGGGTACCCTTTTTATCTGTGGTCTATTTTAGTAGGGGAACCCTCCCCAAAAAGTTGGTGAAAGGACATAGCTGTGGGACCTAGAATAGGAAGTCTGGATTGACGCAAATGTGGCTCACTCCCCAGGCCCCCCAACTGTGCAAAGGACCTTGGCTTTCTAGCCCCTGGGCTCCGCTTCTCACGGGAACGCCTGACCAAAGCGAGAGCCGAAGCGGCTATGTGTTTCAGGCCCTGTTCTCCTCTGAAGGAGGGTGTCCATGGATTGTTTTCAAGGGAGCCAACAGCCCTGCCGCGCGAGCCGCGAGGTCACCCTGGAAGAAAGGCAAGTGAAAGATCTGGCCCTGCGACGCCT